CGAAACTCCAGTGAAACCTCAGGACTAGTTACGTCAAATGCAAGCACTGGGTAGTGTCACTGCCGCAGCACTGTCAGGACATAAAAAGGATATCGATTTGTATTACTTTTTAGTCCAAATTACGATATGAAAGTTTTGAAACGTACAACGCTTCTTCCATGCAGTCGCGAACACCATCGTCATGGCAAACACCGCGCGCATCTCTACTGGTGCGAGTAAAAGAATGTCTGTGATTGGCCCAGCGGGCAAGGGACTGTTACCAAAAAGCGCATTGCACTGAAACTGGTTTTGAGACCTTACACCGTGAGTTCTCTTGACCGTATGCTGCACGGCCTGCACGATGAGACCTCTGGCTACATGGTCTCATCTGAGACCAGTTTGTCACTTTAGGAGACCATGCGGAGGGCCTGTTGCGGAGACTTTGCGACTGCTAATTTTAAAAACTTCTCGGCGAGCCGCTGTGAATACTTTCGAGACTATTCACGATCTGCACAAAATGCTCAGTGTACAGCCGCCAGCGGCATCTACACAAAAATGTGTGCACTTGACGATATGTTTGTAATTAAAAGGTGACGCTGTAATGCAGTAGCAATGATTCATTTAGACTGAACATAAGCAAAATGACATGCAGCTCACAATTTAGTTTTGTTGAACCTCATGCGATGTTTTGAGAATTTTAGGAAAAGTAGTTTTCGATATGAAGCTATCATTGCGACGTTTTTAAAAAGCAATACCAAGCATTACATGGTGTTCTTGAAGCAGACTACAAAATAACTATGTTTCCTTCAAAAACTGATGATAAGAACAATGCTGTTTTCATGCACCTTGCAGTTGTCACACCACAACGTTATTCACGTTAAATACTACACATCAAGGTAGTTTTGCATAATAAAATCAGCGTGAATTGAGCTTTTGTGACCACGTTTTTTCTTAATTTGCACTTAACCATTCTCGAACACTGCATTTCCACCAACGCGTACTGCTTGCGGCCGCCGATTTCGGGAGGTTGAGGCGTCGGAGGCATTTAATGGCAAGTCAACATTCCCCGTGCTTAAGCTATGATGTACACTTAAATTAAAGTTTTGCAAGTGTGACGCACTGCGCTGGCTGGCTGATGGCCGGGGTGTCGCTCAAAAATCGGATGGAGGTCAGCTGATATGGTTGATCCAGTTTGCAAGAATTGTAAAATCGGACGAGGGGATACCCGGAGATGCATCGATTGCAACTCAAGTGAGGGAGACAGCTTGTTTGCCCAGGCAGGGCTGGATCTGGGGATGTTGGGTAGGTCTCCGCAATTGAACTGGTGGACAAAAAAAAACGAAGAGGGCTGTCTTGATTTTGTCAGGAGCCCGGGGCTCGATGGGTACGTATTCCGCCGATTTTTTCACTTTTCGGGAGCCTTCTGTCATTTGAAGTGGAAAATGAAAATATGTGCTTGAAACAGAGGCCCCTGGCTGTGTCCCTGTTAGGAAAGGACCACGAGTATATTGAATTTGTGACCTAGCTCATGTTTCGTATTTCATGTATATTTTTCAGCACAAACTCACGATATTTAACATTACAGCAAACAGGGGTGCAGGCCAAGTATAAATAGTCGTCATTTACATAAGGCTACGAGTTAAGAGTTTCGTGCTTTGCGAACACGCTGTCTTACAGGCGGGCTGTCAAATCCTGTGTTCGGTCTTACTTTGTTCCCACACCGTTTCTGTAATTCCTGTTGTAAGTAGCTCCTTGGCCATGGTGTTGAAAGCTTACGCTTTTGTTTCATGCTCAAGATTTCTGCGGAGTTTACGGCTCGAAGATCAGCGACAGCGGACACGGACCAGAACTGGGGCTGTCGCCAAAACTGAGAAGTACTACCACGGGGACCCCAGCTGAACGGTGAATGTTTTGTTATTTTCTTGGTCAGTTCAATTTTGTCATCTCCCTGTATAAATTTTTATTTTGCGTCATCAAATGTCCTGCTCAAGGGCAGTCATAGGATTATTTGCATGAGAGAGGGGCATGGAGTCACGCCCCTTCCCCTTGGGGCCCAACGAGGTTTTGCTGCCTTGAGAGAACACTAAAATCAGAGGTGACCGAGATTTAAGATCTTCATTTCGAGGCACTATCACATTTATTTTCTCAAGTGTACTCCCGTCCAGATGGTACCACAAAGGCCCTAAACCTTTATTACCAATACGCACCAGAGTCCAGCGTCACAATAATGATCCGTTTCCCACCAACACGAATTCCCGGATCGGCTGGTTGGGAGAGGGGGGCACCAAAGCTTTCTTTTCCTTTTTATTTCTGAATGAAATATCTCTGAGTATCACAACTCTATATTTCATGAGTGCACCAAAATCAAAGCAAACCATTTAAAGGGCCCTTATTTTTAAACGCTTATTTTTAAGAAGACTGAAATCCACGAGCACCATAGTTGCTTTTACCGTTTACCCTGACAAAATGCTGGATTTTTCTGATTAGTGGAGGGACCCAAAAACCTTCGTTTCGAGGCATCATCAACTTCATTATCCAGAGTCGCCTGATTTCAGGCCAGCACCAAACGGACCGCAAGAATTTCATTCTTCAACAGGCAACATATTCCAAGGGACACCATTATGCCCGTGTCTTTCCATTGACTTTGAACTTCCATTCAGCGAAAAAGCCACCAAAACATTGCATTTAAGGGACTATAAGATTTGATCTCTAAAGACACCAAATTCAAGCGGCCATTCAAAGGCGCCGCGAAGTCTTGATTTCAGGCTGCACGAAGTACAGGGGCACCACAATTTATAGCCCCCCTTGGTGCACACCAAAAGCTTTCCTTTTGGGACATGATAATCTTGATTTGCAAGAGGCACCCAACTCCAGAGGGCGCCACAAAGGGCAGCAAAACTTTTTCAAGAGACGAAGAATTCCAGGGCACCATAAATGCTCCAGTCTTTTATTTTTTGGCAGAAAACATTATACCAACGCCCACGGAGCCCACAACGAAGAGCTCGGTCGGAACGGTCAGATGGGCAGACCAGAGGTCATATTCAAGGTAGCCCAGCCCTGACCCCTAAAATATCAGCAAGAAGGGCCCGCTGCACACCGCTCGCGGGGCCCCGAGGCAGTGAGGGTCTTATATCAGCTGACTGAGACCACCAATATCGAACAGTCGATGCCATGCCGGTCAGGCCCCAGGAGGCCCTTTCCCAAGCAGGGGCAAGGGCGGACCTGCAATGTCGATCAGGGAGGCCTCTTGCATCGGTCGGTCCCCATGAAAGGGTGAATGGCCATCTACGCTGGTCAGTGGACCACAGTGCATAACAGGGGACCCTGTGTCGACAACGGGCCCAAAGTCGATCAGGGGCACATTTACCTCAGCAGGAACAGCAGCGTGATGAGAAGGCCCTGCACACCAAATTTGGTTAAAAAAAACGTAACAACACAGGGACCCCCAATGTCAAAAGGCCTCTGGCTGTTGGTTCGGGGCTGTTTCACAATGAAGACACATGAGAAATAACTATGCAAGGTTTCACTTTCACATCGATTATAATGGAAGTGCCTGTGTCATTCAGAGGTCACAGTACCGAACGAGGGCCTCACTGCTCTGCTTCAACCAAGAGACACGTCTGTCAATCTAGCAGCAGATTGATATCCAATTGCCAGTTGGATATTGCGGGGCGCCCTCGATTTCCTTCAAATTGGGTGTTGCACGGCCTTCTCAACACGCTGATTCCGAAAATCACTGCCTTTGGGGTGGGAATTCGGCGTAATTTTCGAGTTATGCGCTGCGTAAACATCCCAATGTGATACTGCGGGGGCGTCTCGATTGTGCCTCCAAATTTGGTGTGCAGGGCCTTCTCAACACGCTGATTCCGAAAAGCACAGCCTTATGGGGGGGGGAATTTTGCGTAATTTCGAGTTATACGCTGCGTACGATCCCAATGTGATATTGCGGGGCGTTCTCGATTGCCTTCAAATTTGGTGTGCAGGGCCTTCTCAACACGCCGATTCCGAAAATCACTGCCTTTGGGTGGAATTTGCGTAATTTTCGAGTTATACGCTGCGCAACATCCCAATGTGATATTGCGGGGCGTCTCGATTGCCTCCAAATTTGGTGTGCAGGCCCGGTGTAGCCGACAGTCAACGTGGCCGTCGCCGGGGACAGGTACACGAACTCCAGTGGTGCCGTGCTTCGCCGCTCAGGAAAAAACGGCTCCCACAAGCCGTCCTGCGGTGCCGTTCCGCGCAGGGTGACACCGGCTTGACGGCCGCGGTGCCGTTCCGCAGGGTGACACCGGCTTGACGGCCGCTAGAAATGTGACACTTGTGCATAGGCGCACCCAAAATTTCACCAGCGGGACACGACTCCAACGCTTTCACTGAAAACTGCGGTACGGCCCTCGTCGTTTCTTGCGTACCTGGAACTGCTGAAATGGATGCTGCACATGCTGATCTTCTCTTTTTTGCGGACTTACATGGAGTTTTCAACTTTCAGCACACTGTTACGTACGCACGAATACATGGCCTTAAATTGGTAAGTGGATGGGTAGGATGAGGTGCATATACCTACATGGGGGTCACTACTTAGCCCAATATTTGTCTCGGAGTAAGGTCGGAGAGAATTTGAGTTTGCATAGTTACGAACAGTCCTCCATTGGCTCCCAAATCGAATCGACTAGGCTACTCTGTTCACCTCTTCTCAGTTAACAGCATCCTGTTTGCCGTTTGTCGTCTTTTTTGCACATTGATGTATATTTGCTTCCGCAGTACCTGTGCCTTCGGGCCCGTGCCATCGCTGCTGGTAGCTTTGGAACTTGTGCTTTTTATTTGCGTCTTTGGCTGCCCCAGCAAGGACGCTCTGACCAGTGTCCCTGGCTGCCCCAGAATGTTCTGTCTGATCCATCCCCATGGCCGTCGGCATGTGTAAGCGTACCTAGTGTCGCTGCTGGAGCTAAAATCGGACACTCTGTGGCCGGCGTTCGGCATCAGCTAGGTGGTCCGTGCTGCTAACGCCGGTGCCATTCCAGGCGCGTCACGGTGCCACACTGGCCGCCGCCTGCCACAGCCAGCCAGCCAAAATGAAGTCCAACGGCGTGGTCATGGTGCTTCTCGCAGAGGTTGTCTTCAGGGCGGCGCCCGAGACTGGTGAGCTCGCCGAGGGATGCGGACCGGCATGGGATCACGGAAGGATTGGATCGGACGGTGCTCGCTCAGAGTGTGTCGCGATGGTGGGTCTCACTTGTGGATGTGGTTCAGCCAGCGTTCCAAAATGCATTCAGCGGGCTGTGCGGGATTTAAATATGAATTAATCCTACCAGAATCCTGGCTATCCGGCGACGGCCCCGCACGCAATTGGTTTGCGCCAATCCGTTGCCCTTTGACCCGACCCAGGCACCTGACCTACTTAGTGCATTTGTCAAGCCTGAGGTGCATAGATACTGGTTTCACAGCCGCACAGTCCGATGCTGATTGGCTGATTTTGAACAAAGTGGACGGGCAGTCGGCAGTGAGCCACAAGCCGGGTGTAATAACATGAAACATATCCACATACATGCCATCCAAGTGACCGAATATTAGAACACTGGTTGAGCCGTCGATTCGTGCGACTTCGAGGGTCAAGCGGCCTTTAGAACGCGTGCATAGCCACTGTGAACGCTTTGATCATTTTGCCGTGCTGCCGCTGAGAACAGGCTGTAAAGTATCTGTGATGACAACTGGAACCATCCCAAACACGCTGTGGCTGCTATCAACTGGCTGCCGAATATTTAAAATGATTCTATCTGGTTAAGATACTGCTCATGAGTGACATATAAGTGGTTGTGGTTACTTGCTGAATTAATTCGGGATCTTTCTCTACGCTGTTGTATGTGGTAGTCCAGGCTGCAGAATTCTGCTAAGCCTTGGTCTCAATTTAGATGCGTTCAACGCGATGTGCGTACCACTTGGTGATGTTTGCGCAGTGACAATATCTTCAGCTCATGTTATGGCGTAATGCAAATGGCATAAAATGATAATATTTCATGTTTTGGTGGCCTGGCTTGCTGATAAGTTATGTATTGTAGCAGGCGATGTTTTGTAAAACTCGATGTCGTTGAAGCCTGTCTCGTCGCGACGCCTGCGCCGATCGCTGGTCTGACGGGGGCACTGTCGTGTTCACAGCTGTCAGCCCGATTCCAGGCTTGCCATCGGCCGTGTCTGGGGAGCAGGCGTCTGCCAAGCCGATCCCCATGGTGATGCTGGTTCACTTGATTCTGCTGACGCGCTTGCTGATGGTCAAGCTGGTGCCTTTCGACCAGCTCCTGGCCACGGCGGCAGCTGACAACGACGGGTCGGGGGCCAACATCTTCAAGAGGCCGCGAAACAACACGGGGTCAGGCGAGGTGATCTATGCCTTCTCTTTTCAGGGTGAAAACGCGCTTGTTCCTCGTGGATCCAGTTTTGAATGTAGACGAACTTACTCACGGATAATTTGATATTAGATTCACTGGACGGGATAGCCATATGCATAGTTGGTAGATACGTGTTGGGGAAGCCAGGCTTCAATGCGTTTTGGAATATGTGCCCTGGAATTCCCCTTTGGGCCTGTCCGTATCAGTTCACTGGAGAAGGTCAGTTCGCGAGATGTAAGTGAGAACCGTGTGGTATGTGATAGCATTGGCGTGGTGGTATCGCCCAGTGACATCCTTCTCAGCTTTGTTTCGTTTCTGACCTTTAAGGTGGTGGAGTAATAGCCCGACGTAGTCACTGTCATTGTTTGTCCTAACCAAAAACTGACAAGATGTCGCTTGTGACCAAACCAATCGTGCCTCACCGCTGGAGCCTGAAGATTTGTGTGATGTCACCGCCTGTCTCATCTCCCAAGGACGCTGGTGACGCTGGTGGAGCTGCGCATGCTAGTTGTGCACGCCATGCCCATGTTGTTGGCTGGCCGGCCACATCAGCCCGCTGCTGCTGACCGTGGTGGAGACACCGCACTACGCGAGCCGGCCGGACTGCGGTGGCGACACACCGGTGGTCAGGCGGCCCAAGCAGCTGATAGCCGACTGCATGCCGAAGCATGGGACGGCACACGACGTGCGGCGCCGGGCGCTGATTGCCACCGACCCCGTCCTTACCCAAGCGCTGACGGCAACCAGCCTCGTCCCCACGCGTCACTGATGGATTTTGTTGCCCGCATCCCGCACTGCTTCACGCGGTGGATCAGGCAGGGGATGGAAACGAACTGGGGCCGCGGCAATATATCGTTGATGACTCTCTTCCTCCGTGAAGCGACGTTTTTACTGGCATTGCCTGTCGCGTGTTCGAACTCCTGTGATGGCCGTCATGCGAGATGACTGGCTGGATAGCGGTGAAGATGTGTGGCAAGGTCATTGTGCTGCGTTGCATCAAATGTTCACAGGAGCGCGGCGTGTGGTGACCCCAAGAATGTCAGGAATCATAAGTGCGAGAAAAGCAGGTGATGGTGGCCTTGAGAGTGGTGTTTTAGAATTGATTTATTGTGAGGTCCGATGTGCCTAGCTCATATTCAAGCATTGTGTCGTAAGTTTATTTCCATATGCCGAAAATGTAATTCAGTCAAACTCTTGTAGGGTGTTGTTTGTAACGTAAAATACACCTCGCATGTGTACAAATTGCAGAAAATAAAACTTAAACTTGATTGAAGTCCCAAAGTAGTCGGCTTTTCACGGACCTACGGGTGCACTTTAGTACTGTCATAAGCATCAAAAGCAGCGGCAGCGAGAATGGTCACTTTCCATTTGTGTAATGGTGGGATGATGTTTCCTGACCAGACGTTTTTACGGGAACGATTGTCCAAAGTCCAATCGAAACCACGAGGACCAATCAGCTCTCCGTCCAACAGTGTCCAAAAATCAGATTGCCAGGTAAAATTCCATGCATGAAATACCGTTGCTCATTGCAACCCATAACTACACCTTCCTCCAACCCACGGTATTGCACTCCCTCATCCCTTAACAAATTTTTGAACGGAAAGCAGCATGCTCGTGGGCAACTAAGGAGAATCGCGTACTTAGGCAGCATTAATATCTTGCAGGTTTCACTGCCATTAGGGCAGCAATCTAAAGCCTGCCACATTCTACGCCTTTTAACTCCAAAGGCCTTGCATACAAAATTTGGAGGCGATTGAGACGCCCCGCAATATCACATTGAGATTTTACGCAGCGTATAACTCGAAAATCACGCAAAATTCCACGCCAAAGGCAGTGATTTTCGGAATCAGCGTGTTGAGAAGGCCCTGCACACACCAAATTTGGAGGCAATCGAGACGCCCCGCAACATCACACTGGGATTTTACGCAGCGTATAACTCGAAATTACGCCAAATTCCACCCCAAAGGCAGTGATTTTCGGAATCAGCGTGTTGAGAAGGCCCCGCAGACCAAATTTGCAGACAATCGAGACGCCCCGCAACATCACATTGACGTGTTGCACGTCGTATAACTCGAAAGTTACGCAAAATCCTACTCCAAAGACAACGGTTTTCAGAATTAGCGTGCTGAGAAGGCCGTGCACACCAAATCTAGTGGGCAATCGAGACGCCCCGCAATATCCAGCTGGCAATTGGATATCAATCTGCTGCTAGATTGACAGACGTCCAAGAGACGATAAGCCGAATTGGTGCCGCGGTTGCCAAGTATTGGACTTCCTACGCCAGTAATGGGCCGTTTGCATCAGTGAGGGCCGCTGCGTCAATCCTGTGCCAAGCGGCCCTGTCTGAGGACCTGTCGCACCAGGTAGGGACCCGTGCAGCGCATGATGCATCCCTCTGACGGTCTCCGGATCGACCAGGGTGCGCGGTCCCCGCATCGGCGGAATGGCAACTGCTGGGGAACCCGAGTTGGGCCGGACGTTTTTCAGGTCCTGCTCATGTTCCTTATGCATTGATGAAATCACATTTCTAAGTTCGAATTTTTGCATTTTTGTGCTTCATAGCCATTCAAAGACACGGTACAAGTTTGGTGGATTTCCATGTAATCAACACAATATATTCCACGCATTCCAGGTAGTTTCCTTATGTTTTACGATCAGAAAGTGCATTGGGGAAAAAATTATACGAGAATCAATGGCTTCACTGTTTTCGGCTACAATCCCCAAGCACTTGGTATTCACGCCATGCGATGTCACTCAAGCCAGTACGACTTCGAATTCATGTACAAGTTGCTGCCTTCGTTTTTAACGATTCGTTATAAGCAAACTTAGTAATGTACAGTAAAGTACAAGCAAACTTAAAAATGCAGCTGTGCTGGTTTCGTCATACGAAGGTTAACGATGTATAGTTATCCGAGTCGTGTTACTGATACCTGTCTTCGTTGGTCGTTATTATCCTAATTAACTCGTTTTCCTAATCTTCTCCAAGGTGCTTAGCTCAGGATGGTAGGAGCCCATCAGCCTCTGGAAAAATAAACGAGGTACCATAAACATACTTACCAACTATGTCTATCCCTCCACGATGCGCGGAGGAAACTTCCTGCTTAAGGGACAAAAATCTGAAAATGAAGCGGTCGGGATCCAGGGCTCTGTTTGTGAGGTTGGGGGAGCGTTAAGTTCCAGGAAACGCAACAGTGAAGCGCAGCCCCTCCCTTGATCAAAATCCTTCACCCGCTCCTGATTAGCGATCACTTTAATGTGTGAATACCATAATATTGATGCATTGTACCTGTAAACACCATAATTAGTACTCAACGACAGTACCGTGCAAAGCTCTGTAGTCATTTTGCACTGTGCTAATATGGATAAGTGATTTGCCCCTCTCTAAAATGAGATAGATGTTTATTGTTATCGCAGCACAAATATTCATCGTGCTCTCCTTGCTCTTCCAATTAGCTCTCGCTGGCTCACTGGCTTGTGAATCGTAGCCCATGTGGTCAGTATGGGTTAATGCATAGGTCTGGTGTGCCTGCCATGGGGAAGCAGGGGTACTCCTGGCGTCCATTGCTTGTCGTCCTCTCCCTCGCCCTCGGTGGCAGTGGTGACCTATATGCCACATATTATATGTCTTGCCCTTGGCTACCACTTTGTCCTTCTGACACGGTCCGTCCCACGATCCCCACGGCGGGTGTTCAATCCTGGATGTGACCCTCGCAACCGCTCATGTCTAAGCTGGAGCTGGGGATCAAAGATCACTCACGCGCTGCTTTTAACAGTTTGCTGTTAGACTTTTCCTTGCCTGCGGCTGCCCTGTACATCTCGGTACTGTGACCTGTCCTGTCCCAAGCTATCGGGGACAACAACCGGCAGTCGAGACTAGTGACCTGGCAGGAAGCCGCTTCACCGTGGTGGTGGAGATGACGGTGGCGGGGTCATAGGAGATATTGATGGCTGTTCTGCTGCAGGTGGTGTCATACACATCCTTCGCTGAGCCACTGGGCCTGGTCGAGCGCCACCCGCCACCCGTCACCCGCAACGCTTAATGCTGCAGGTGCGCGATTGTGGTGTTGTACCCAGATCGTACTGGGTTCCGACCAAGAGGCGGGACGTAAAGGAGGGGACATAAAGAAGCTTGCTGATCGGTGGTGGTGACACGCAGGTCCAGTGAGTGCGGCGCTGGAGCGTGGTTGATAGTTGGCGCGAGTTTGTGATGTAGCTGATTTGGAAACCTGATCTCATGCGTATGTCGATAGAGGTGCGTCATATTGCTGTAGTGTGTGCCGTTCCACTGTGTATTATGTTCTATCGTTTTGATTGAGATGCGTCGTTCTGTTGTACTGTGGTATGGCTACACAAGTTTGTTTGCAATACTGATTTGAAAGTTTTGGTTTTTGTCGTCAGGGTATGTAAGAGGAGATGCGTCGTTCTATCCTGCAAAGCGTTGCTCTGGTGTAGGATGCGCTGATCTGCTGTGGAATGTGTCATCCAGCTGTGGGTTGCGCCGTTCTGCCGTGCTGCGTGCCGACGACACGACATTGTGCCGTGACGCGTCTCCGGCGTATGCCGATGGAGACGCGTCGTTTTGCTGTGGAACGAGTGAATCTGCTGAGATACGTCGTCCTGTTGTCCTTATGCAGATGCGCCATTTCGTTGGGCTACGTTATGACCATCCACGTTTGTGTTGTTGCGCTGATCTGAATGTATTTGTTTTAATCTCTGATGATTTTCGATGAAGCGATGCAGAAATATATTGCATGGCCATGTATTGCAAGTTTATCAACACGATGACTGAAAAAGGGTTGAGACCCTCGAGAGTGCTCAGAGCTCATCAAGGCATCTGTTTGGTCTGGGAACTTTTTTGTAAGGTTCTCGGCATCAGTGTAGGTTACTTCGCTCGAGAATGTTCAGTTATCTCCAAGTTCGAATTAGCCGGCCATGGAGATAATCAAGCATTCTCATGCGAGATTATCTGCGCCGACGCTGAAAACCTAGCA